GTGAGGTGACTTGCCCAAGGTCACAATGCCAAGCATGTAGCCAAATTCAGCCTTTCAGGTTTCCTAACTGCCATTATAATACTTGTTTTTGTTTTTTGTATTGTATCATGCTGCTGTCTCTGAGGAACAAGGGAAATTTAACTGACAAGCTCCAGCTCTGTTTTTTGAATACATAAAATTGCTATAATCCTCATCAATATTTCATAGACACAGAGGATGCTGGAGCTGGAGCAAACTTTGGATTCACCTAAATATAGAATCCATTCTACAACATTGCTCTGTGGCTTCTTACAGAGCAATTTTGGTGGTGGTGGTGTGTGTAGCAGGGGAGAAACTGTGGCACCAATCAGCCACACTGAGCCACGGGCTCATTCTGATCACCCATCACTTGGACTATGGCAAAAGCATCAGATTTCTGCCTCAACTTTTCTGACTATGTTTATCTTCCTGAGTACCAGTCCAAAATACGTGAGACTTGAAAAATACGAATTCACTATTTTTCTGCATAATAAAAGCCTTCATTTTCACCATTATAATTAAACAGATCTCCTAATTATCCCAAAATTTTTATGATCTTGCCTTTCAAGTCCAAATTTCTATTTTAATCTTATTCTCCATGCCACAACTTAGTTGTTCCCCATGGAAACTACTGGTAACTTGTACTCCCTTACCTCTGTTTCCTGAGGAGTTACTGACAGTAAACACTCTTTGGGTTTTTTTTTTTCTAATTTTTATGAAATAAAAGAAGCTATCTTGTTAGTCTAGACCCTGAAGGGTGAGTTTTATCAAGATCAAGCTTCGCATAGCTTCTCTGGGCATCTGGGTGGTGCTCTGTTCACCACCTACTTATGCAAGGAAAACTTCTGTGTGTGTACTGTCACCTGAAATTTACCTGAGAGACCTCTGTCAAAAGACATTTCCCTACTGTCTTCCTGAAATTTTCACTGCTAGAATCTCATTACGACTCCCCTGAAGACATAGGCACTTATTTAAAATTTGTAAACCTCTATGGAGTCCCTACCATACTCAAAAATTTTGTGCTAGGAGTTGTTATGGATATAGAAATGGATATGATAAAGGCAAAATTAAGTGCATGTGTTGCGTTGGGGAAATGAAAAACTTGTCTTTGCATCACATAATTTGAAGAGAGACGATGTTTTCCCAAATTAGTTATCAGTTTAATTAATGTGTTCATGATTCCATATGATAGAAATATATCAGATTTATACACGGTATCACCTATCAATCCATTCCTGAGAAAGCGGGGGAGATAAAGCATGAAGAAAAGACAATGTCAAGTTTTCTCTTCCAGGCGAGTCCTCCAACTCTTTGTGCACACCTTTCACAGGACAATGACCCTAAGGACCGTCGTTTACCCTTTATCTCTCTCCCTCCTTAGACTGGCACAAGCTTGAGGGCAAGGCGTAAGCCCAGAGGCGTCAGCCAATGAACCATCACGCTTCTCTTTGCCTCGCTGGGTAGCCACGCCTCCCTCACGGCCAGGGCTCGGCCTCTTGCTGCTCCTCTTTTAGTAGCGGGTCGCGCATCGTGACGTCATCAGCGCGCGCCTCCATGGCTGAAGTCCTGGCATGTGCGTTCGGCGCTGCCGCTCTCTTCCCTTGTCCTATCCCTCTTTAACACAGTCGCGCCAGTTTGGAGGCCCGTAAGCAGCAGACTTGGCGACATGTCGATGCTGGCTGAACGTAAGTATCGGACGCGGCGGCCCGAATCTGGCGCAAAGGAAAAGCCACCGGGTGATGCGCGGACGCCGCAGTGGCAGGGTTCTCGGCGCGGCGAGTTTGGACGTTGCATGCAGGGGGCGTTTGACACCAGGAAACTGGGCCTGGAAGGCCGGCTAGGTTCGCCCTGCCTGCTGCAGAGATGCTGCCGCCCAACCTTCGTCGGAGGTTGGCCGCCGGTCGGCTAGTGAAAGAGACTCCGAGCGTCCCCTCTAGTCTCTTATCCTCCAGCTCTGGGGCGCGCGAGATGGGTTCGAACAGGAGTCGGAATTCTGGGTCCTGGGACAGGCCTTGCCTCTGGCGGTCTTGGAAACCCAAGTGACTTTCGTCAGTTTGCCGGGCCTTGGTTTACACAGATTTTAGCAAACTGAAGGTGAGCTGGAAGGATCCCTGCAGGCGGTGAATCCAGCTGTTGATTATGTATTAGCACGCAGAAAAATAAAAGCCAAAACGGTTGGAAGCATCAAAACCCAGAAGGTTAGCCTTTGGGGGTGGGGGGTGCAGGCTATGAATGATTCTAAGACGTGAGGGTGTGGCTTCGTTAGTTGCAGTTACCCCACTCACTTCTGGTGTGTTGACCGCCGTGCTCCATCCTGTCTGTTCGCTTTTTAATGTTTAGCATCTGTGAAACCTACCAATTTCCGCTCGCTGGGAGAGGCCCTTTAATTCCGGAATGGGACCTGTAGCTGAGGTTGCTGCCACCAGATGGCAGTCGTACCAGCAGCTACAGCGTAGGGATTTTGCGAAATTTATGCCGGCCTCAACCTGTTATCTAAGGCACCACCAAAACACTAGGAGTAGAAAACGAAATGAGTTAGGCACCATCCCTATTTTACAGTAGCAGGAATTGAAGTTCAGATGAAAATAATTTACTTCAAATCACTGAGTTAGAAAGTAGCAAAATTGATAGTTTTCTCAGTCTTTACATTTTTTGTAGCGGCTTTCTGTTATTTCTAAATAAAAGCTCAAACGAAAATGTTTTAGATGGTAACTGTAGATTCATACTTATCACCAAAAATAAGCAATCGAGATTAGAAGCTATATCGGTAAGATTTCTTCTGTTTTCATAGGGGCTTTGATAAATGCAAGCACTGATTCATTTGAAACACACCCTAGTTTTGTTATTGGTTTATTACTGTTCCCTTGATTAGTCTCTGGAAATCTATTAAAATTTGCTTACAATCTTTATGAGGTTAGCTTAAAATCAGTGAGATGGTTTTTTGAAAACAGTTTCAAAAGTCTGAAGTGGTACAGGCATGTAAAATGCTATGTGTAGATGGCAGTATTTTATGTGACGTGAGTTTTTCAGTTCTTTCCCCTCCAGAACTGGCAAGTTTTTAAGTCTTTGTCATGATAATATGTAACATTTTGTGTAGCCCTTTTGCATAATTTGCTAAATTAATGTTTATGGGCTCTTGTGGTAAAATATTTAGGATTGTCATTCTTACTTTAAAGATGAGAAAATAAATTTCCCGTCTCATAATTTCACTATCCAGAAACTATTCTCTGATAGTTTGTAAAATTGGAATCATTCTGTAGGTTCAGTTTTTTATCCTATGTATTTTTGCCTATTTAACATTAGCAAACTTCTTTTACTTTATTAAACATAGTTGTTCATTTTTTTCCCGACTATACTTTATTTTCAATATTGGCACTTAATCTAGTTTTTTATTTTATTTTTTAAATTAGATTTTTTTTTTTACAGTTTAGATATACATAGCAGTCACAGCCATCATAGAGAATTGTACCTGTACATGATATAACTTGGATTTTTTTCTCCCATTCCCCGACCCTCCCTTCAATCCCTCCTTCTAGTTTTTAATTTACTAATGATTTTCTTTGTATTTCTCAAAAACATTCTTTAACTTGTATTTTTCTTGTTATCAAATGCTACTCTATCGAATCTGCCTCATATAAGACAAGAAGTTGAGGCTGGGGATTTAGCTCAGCGGCATAAGCACCTGCCTTGCAAACAGGCAGTCATGAATTCAATTCCTGGTACCGATAAAAACAAAAAAGACAAAAAAAAAAAAAAAAAAAGACAAGAAGTTTATTTATCACCCTTACTTCCTGATCTTTATGTAATTCACCATTTTAGACTCAGGTTATTTATCAAGATACTAATTTTTCATAGATGTTTTTCTATTCAAGACCATTTTTGACACTTGTCATTGCATTTTATAATCATAGCATTTTATAGTTGATGAATTTGAATGCTCATTATGTTAAAATTTTTATATTGCAGTTTTTTTCAATCTTAAATATGTCTTGAATAATTTTTTAGTAAGATTGTGGGTAGTATAGTTTGAGCTCGTTAGTATCTGAAAGTATCTTTGGAGAAATAAAAAGGAATTCTGTCCCTGGCTGTTGGGATTCAGTGTGCCCGTCAAGTTAGCTTACTGGCAGCATAAACCATGTGATATCAGATATGGGGTGATTGGAGCTGTCCCATCCAAATGTGTCCTGTGGGGACTATTCACAGTTACATCTTCAAACAGGAGGAGCCCCAGCTAGAGCTCACGCATGAACACATGCCAGACAAGGATTGGGCAGGTGCAGGGTTCTCCCCCAGAGGCCCAGTGCCATTCTCATGCTGCTGTTTAAGGTTGTGTTGGTGTCCTCCAGTTCAGTGGTTTGCTGGATTTAGATGGAGGACTCAGTATACAGTATACGGCTTGAATTTATACTAAGAATACTAAACAAAGCTAAAACAAAATGAGTGAGAAAGATACGTGAGCGAAGTATAGGAGAAATGGCACACGCTTCCAGAACCATCTCCTGGTAGTGTAGTATCACACATTTCTTCAGCCAGGGCCTGAAAGTAAGCAGACTCCTGAGTCACCATCATTTGCATAACAGTTGTGTAGTTTATCACTCTTAGAAGAATGGTAGGAACCTGCCTAAAATCCAAGTTCCCAGCAGAGGCTGACCTCATCAGCAAACCTTTCAGAGTCAGCAGTAAGGCCTGCTCTTAGCTCTTTTCTGCATACAGCCTTAGCAGTGCTGATGTCTGAAACAAACTGGGACCTAGAAGTACCAGGATGGGTGGACAGTGATTCAGGCAGAACAGGACAGACAGAGATTGTCCGTGCGCACATGTGCATGTGTGCATGTGCGGGTGTGCGCTTGTGTTTATGTGTGTGGTGCTAGGGGTTGAACCTGGGACCTTGTGAAGTATTGGGCAGACAGTCTTGCCAGAATTTCCCAAATCTGGAAATTTATACAATAATAAAGAAAATAGGATTCTGGTCTGCTAAGTTTGGGAGTCTGGAATGGCTAGTTTGCCCTCCAGGAGGATCTGCACATTTGTGTATTAAAGTTCCTGGGAAGTTCTCATTGTTAAATTGTTTTTGACATTGTTCCTTTTTAGGTCGAGTGCCCCTCCCCCAGCACTCTCATTTGGGAAACACTGGTGGCCCCCTGGTGGAGGATGCCAGCCCTTCCTGACCTCTGGTAGCAAAGACCTGTGGAGCATTGCAGTCTGTGGAATTTAGGCATGCACCATGGATTTCTTACTGTAGAGGGGGGGTCAGTCATTCTCCTAGCTGCCTCCTTCATTCCAGCTGTGGACAGAGACCCCTGGCAAGCACTGTCTGTGGACTGTGATTCACCAGGACCAACTATAAACAATATTAGTTAGCAAGGCTTACCTCTGGTATGTTACTAGTAGACAGATCTACCAAGATAGGTAAGTAGTAACTTAGCCAGATAGAGCATTTTTGGGTCAACTTTTTCTTGCAGAACACTGGAAATTTGAGTCCCACTCATTTTACCTTTTTCTGCCTGTGTGCATGCAAAGCATTTCTTGTTTTTGCTAGATGTGTGGAGTGAAGGATCTGTATTGATTTTACTTGTAGCACAGTGAGCCTCTTTGACTGGAGGCTGTGTTACGCTTAGTTGTGTTGTGAGACTGCCGAGGTCAGACGCTGTTGATAGTGAGTGCGTGTGCCTCAGTCGATGCAGTGGCTCAGTGATTGTGACTGAAATCATCAGGTTGATTTACCCATAGTTGGCTTTAGGTGTCATATTTTTGTTGTGTGAATCTTAGTGATTCTTTCTCTGCAGTAATTTTTCTTAAAGCTTCAACAATAAACTCAAGTTCCTAGAGCTCAATTATTCATATACATTTAAAAGAATAGTTTGATAATACTCAAAGCAGTTTCCTTAGTTCAATTATATTCCTTCTCTTTTATCTTTTTTCCCTTCCCATCATTTTTTTCTCATTCATTCACTTACTTATTGAAAGCCTGCTACATGTAAAATGTTGTTTTCACTTCTTGCAATGAAACATAAAGAAAAAAGCATATGAATATAATGCTTAAGGAGATTATGTTCTAGCAGGAAACATAAATGATGGGTGTAAGTAGCTCTAATGCAATAGTATGTTAAGTGCCAAAAGTGATTAAATCAATGATTCTGGAGGCTCAGTGAATCAGTTATGTAGTGGGGGGCATTCAGTGAGTGAGGAAGCTATCCTGTGTAGATTGTACACATAATGGAGGTACAGCTGACTCTGCTAAGATCACAATGAGTAGATCTTGGGTTTGTATAAAGGTTCAGGGTTTTGTTTGGGAACATCAGGCATATTTCTTTCTCCAAGCCTTGAGTTTTTTATCTGAGAGGGTGGAGATTGAGACTTATTTCACTTCGTTGGCTTACTGTGAAAGCTTGTATTATGTATATAGATGGTATATATGTCACATATGTTGTATTGTACATATAGCATTTGACACACGGTCCTTGGCAATAATAGCTATGAGCAGGGCTCTCACGACTGCTACTGATGGTGATGATGGTGCTGGTATCCATAGGTGCTTTCAGTTGCAGCCAATGGCTGAGTATAGCAGGCCCAACTAATAGTATATTGAATGTATATTTTTTGGGTTACATTTAGAGGGAACAATTTAAATTTACAAAGTCAGTTTGTTTATTAGGAATAGTTATTAAGGAACTTGAGGAAAAATGGTCCACTCTCCTACTGTTCACCAGGTTCAGTCTGGCATCTGTATATAATAAAATGTGTACCACCTTGTGTGCAAGTAGGTCTGTATTTGCGCGTTTCTCCTGAGTTCAAAAGATTGATGGGCTACGTTTTCATTTTCAGGTCGGCGAAAGCAGAAGTGGGCTGTGGACCCAAGAAACACTGCATGGAGTAATGACGATTCCAAGTTTGGCCAGAGGATGCTAGAGAAGATGGGTTGGTCTAAAGGAAAGGTATTTTAGAGAAAAGCAAAACAAACAAAAAGAGCAAAAAACCACCTGAGCTATGGCAAAAGATTATGAATCATTTTTCTTAGAACCGTAGTAGAAGTTTTTTGTTTTGGGTCAATAAGTATTTCAGGGAGGTAAATTGTGGTGACCGAGTGATGAAGTTAGAATTGAGCATGAGCATTAGCTCTCTTCATTTCAGCTCCCCTGATTCTTCTCATTCTTAGATTCCGCTTTTTGGTTAGACACACGTGGAATCATACTTAGCATCCGGGCCTCACATTGCTGGGAACAAGGTTTAATTCCCTTCTGTGGCTAGACTGTGTGCTTCCCCTTCCCTCCCGTGCATCCTTGTGCATCCTTGGTGTTAGACATTGTCTTCTAAAAATCGATTAGACTGTGTTTCTTCTATTTAATAAAAATGCTAACCCCCTTTGTGTTTACTCTTCACAGGGCTTGGGGGCTCAGGAGCAAGGAGCCACAGAGCATATTAAAGTTCAGGTTAAAAATAACCACCTGGGACTTGGAGCCACCATCAATAATGAAGTAAGCAGCAGTGTACCCTCTTTCTGCTGTTTTCTTTGCATAATTGACTTTCCTTTTGGTGACATTAGAATTTCAGTTCGCTCAGTTTTGACTACTGAAAGGTATAGTGTTGGTATTTTAGATAAAGAATGGACCCTGCTGCATATTTGTGTGACACACCATCCATCACCCTGCCTTCTGGACCGCTTGGGGTCCTTACTGCTTGTACCTAAGAGATACAAGCAAGGTTTACTGCTAAACTTTGCCAGAAGTCTTCTTTTCAGGACAGAGAGGTGTTTTGTGTGTGTGTGTGTGTGTGTGTGTGTGTGTGTGTGTGTGTTTGAAAGTCCTTCTTTATTGGAAAATAAATGGAGTCAAACAAGTAGGCCAGCCAACATTTGTAGTTTGGATACCAAAAGGAAGGTGTTCAGCTTGCTCAGAATTCAGCTTTCCATGAGCTGGCTATTTCCCATGATCACCTCATTTGTTCGCTTAGCTTTTGGCTTCAGTCCCCTGGCCCATCAAACAGTCTTTAAGGTCTGCTCTGTTCTCAGTCACAGCATTGTTGCAAATGATGCTGCCCTGGATTTTGCTTCCTTCTTCCAGTGACTGAGTTCATGAGGAGCCAGTTGTCTCTTAGGAGACAGGAGGAAGCAAGGATAGCGCTTAATTGATCACTTCTCTCCAACTTGTGTCCAAGCCATCAGCTCCAGCCTTATGTCTGCTGGACAGATTCTTCTGGACAAAGAACAGACAGCAGTTTGGGCACCTTCTGTTCGCTCCCATGTAGAGTCCCCTGTGCTCACTTGAGAGCAGAGGCCATGTTTCACGGTGTGTGTGTGGAGCACTTCTGTGATCTAAACAAGTCTTCCCATCTATCCCTGTACCTGTCATAGGAGCTGAGGCAGAGTACTGGCTTCTTTTATAAAACTATAAATATCTAAAGATTTTGGTTCCTTTTTCTTTAGATCCTCCTCTTTATCTTCTTGTCCCCATTGTGACGACATCAAGGAAAACTTTTTCTTACTAGGTGTGGAATGAGCTCACTTCAGATAGTGATTGATCTATTTCCCATAGGAAATCTATAACTTTTTTTTTCAAGCAGTAGAGATAGGCATCCAGGAGGCCTGTGTGGAAAAGTCTTCTGGGGTACTTCTGTGGGATGGGTCCCTTAATGGCCAGCTCCTCTCCCAAGTCTGCTTCATTAGCTGTGAAAGGCAGCCTCTTTCCTGTTTGTCATCTCCAGTGAAGTCACACGGCTCCAAGGTTATCTTTTTGCCCTTGTGTTTTTTCATTAACGTGGTGAGTGATGCACCCTAACCTCTGAACAGGTCCACGACTTCATGTAAGGCAGCCACAGCTTGGGACCAACATGTTAGTGTTAAGTTCTGGAATATGTAGTGCAAAGAATCTGCAGTCCCCATGTCAGCTTCCTCGATACACACAGTATCCGGCTTCATTTTCATCCTGATTTCTGCACCTAGAGCCTTGTGGTGGGTTGTAACCTTGGTTGTAACCACAATGACTTAAGATCCAACACACTCAGGCAGGTTCAGTGGGTACCAAGTTAAAAATTTGTTCCCAACTGAAAGCAAAGGTTTGGGAATGCTGGAAGTCAGGTCTGTCAACTGCAGTCCCCCACCAGCTGCTGTCACTACTGCTTGAAATTCCATTCTTATAAACTGGATCAGCCAGCCTGGAAGATAGAAGCCACAGCTGTACCTCACTCCCAGCACATGGCCCTAGGATGTTTATACTAACCTTCATTCTGATATTAGTTTATACTATTAAAAGTTGATGGCACTTAGTTTAGGAAACACTGTAAGAAAGTAGTATTCTTTTCCTATTGTCTGTTTCTGACTTTTGGTGTATAGCTCTTGGGTATGTTCACATTTTCTTTTGAACATGGACGCTGTAATTAAAAACTAGTGACCTGCCATGCTTCTCCTGTTTAGTACCATTGTTTCCTTTAGAAAGTGTTCAGGCTGGAAGCTTTGCTTCTATTTTTTTGTGTCCAATGGAATCTAAGGGAGAATTACTTTAGATGAACTGAATATTTTGTTTAGTTCAGTAGCTCTGAGTAGTGGATTGGAGCAACTAAAGTTTTCCGGTCTAATAGCTAAATTTTTCTGCCACTAAAGGAAAACTTTGTGTAAAGTTGGTTTTGCAGTAGTTTTGAGAGACAGGCAGCGCAGTCCCCTTATTTTCTTAGCAGAAGCACTACCCAGTAAATCTGTTCAATATGCCTTAACTTTAAGCCTTCGTAAAATATAATGTATAAGAAGTTGTATGAGGCAAATTCCTGCATTGAAACTCTGCTGTACACTTGTCAGTCCTGCGTGGGAGGTCTGCATTCTCTGCTAGCTAATCAGTCACCTTACCAATGGGTACTCATTGATTCAGAGGTCTTTTGAGTCCTTTTTTCCCCTTTCCCCAAAGGTTTGTAAGATTTAGGTCATTTGCTAGTAATTAGAATGGAGCAGAATATTTTCAGCTCTGTTGAGCAAAGGAGAGCCCCTGGGTCCCTCACTGCTCTTACCCTTTGAACCACCTAATCTCCACTGAGAAAAACTGGTAATTTATTTTGCCTTATTTTAATATTTAGCACAAAGGTTGCCTGTTTTGACTATTATTTGACTATTGATAAATCATCCACATTTGAAGGCAAGACCTTAAGTTTCCAAAAAGCTCCTTTTTAATATTGATTAGGTTAAATGGTGACATTTCAAGCTTATATAATTTCCTCAACCTACTTAAATATTTTGATGAAACATTTAGTATTTTATAAGTGCCTGATTTCCTTTTATCTAAAAATGTATCGTGGACGCTGCCCATGAGCACACCAACTTGCAGCTCAAGCTCGGCAGGTGCAAGGCCTCGCATGACCTGGTGCTCCTCAGTTGCATTAAGAATGTGATCTTCATGGAGCCTAGATCAGTTTAAGCGAATGGAAAGCGCTGAACTCTTAAGAATGTAGCTGTGCCTACTACACTTGTGGACAAAAAAAGCTTAGAAGAGATTTGGAGGATCTGAAGGATCAGTGTGTCCAGTTAGAAGACCCCTCAGCTGCTGCCCAAAAAATAGCCAAACAATACAGTGGATTTGGAGAATCACTGTCAGAGTATTACTGAGCGCTTAGAGTTTCCCAAACACAGGCATGCAGAGATTAATGAGACCATAAGGCAGTGTGGAATGCCTTGGTAGGGTGTACACACTCAGCAGGCTGTGTATGAGTAGAAGCTGGCACAGGCTCTTCACGAGATGAGGGATGCGTGGTGCCCAGGTGGGACTGTCTGAGGAAGAGCTTGAGCACACTCAGTGTGCCGTGCTGGAGGAGGCCACATTGGAGGAGGCCAGGCTGTCAGCAGTGCCAAGGAGGAATTGCTGGAGAGTCATGTGAGAATCGAGAGGCCCTCTACCCAATGCTGATCTCCAGGAAGAATCGAGAGCATGTTTGGGAAGGACTCAAGAGTTGGCAGAGTCGCTTGCTTAAGAAAGACAGTTGCACACTGTCTGACAGAGAGGAGTGATGACAATAAGGGATCAGCCGCAGTCCAGCTGAGAGATTGTGCACAGCTTCCTGGTGTGGAACTTGCCTTGGACATAGAAACTAGTGCTTGCAAGGAACTTAGAAGGCGGAGAAGGGAGGTTGCAGCTGTCTTCAAGCCCTTCTGTGCGACAGGGTCCTGAGCATCTCACATTGCGGAGTGTGCCCAGCGGGAGGAAAGTGGGAAAGTGTTGAGGCGGAAGAATCAGAGACAAGCCATAGTGCTGGCATCTTGCCTTCTGCCTCAGCCACTGGGGAATGTGTGCATTGAAGAGATGGATGTGGATGGGAAATTTATGCACAGGAAGAGTACTTCCAAACAGGATCAACTGCTGAGAAGCTGGGAGCTGATCAGAAAAATTGGAGACATCAGTCAGATGTCCACTGAAGGCAGGTCTGACTTTCCAGTTTGGGCTGCAAATGCTGGTATTGTAGGCAGTCCTCCCACCGACCTCACCTGGAAGAACCAGGACTCTTGGGCCACTGGTGAAGATGTAAAGGTTGTACTGGAAATGCCCAGGGACAGGGGTGGCACAAAGAACTAGTCTTCAGAGCAGCCACACCTGAGGAAAGACAGTCTGGGGTGGTTGTTGAAGAACTTTTCCACCAGCAGAGCATCCCCGGAGCCCCCGGAAACTGCAGTTATGTGAATTCTCAAGTTGTGTGCTCCTCACTGTATGGAAGTATGGTCGTCCTTACTGATATACAGTGACAGAGCCTTCTCAGAAGCACAGAATATATTTCAGTGTATTTAGATTTCCTTTATGTGATTGTCTAAGCCTGTGACTCTGATGGCTTTGATTTCCTTTTCTGACACTGAAAGTTTTATAAAAGAATTATATACGTGCACTTTGTTGTGGGATATGAATTATTGACGCTGAACTACCTGTGTACTGTCTGGAAAAGTTCCCTCAATTTTTTTTTATAATGGGAATCAAACTCAGGACCTCGTGCTTGCCAGGCAGGCACTGTGCCACTGAGCTGTGTTCTCAGCCCTTTTTTTTTGATATGTATTTGTTGTTGTAAGTTCTTAGGAGAAGGGGGGAGCGGGTATGTAAACCACTGTGCCCGAGTATAAATTGCAGATTGTTCTCTAGATCAGCAGGCTGCTCTCTGTATTTTTGATATGACAATGCTAGAGGGAAATGATTTTCAATATATTAAATTTTTATACTGAATTTTTTGTAATAAGCAGTCAAGTTGCGGGTATTGTTTTATCGAGGTTTTGTTGTGTTTTTTGTTTTTGGGTTTTTTTGGTGATACCAGGAATTGAACTTAGGACCTTGCGCTTGCCAGGCAGGCACTTAATGCCACCAAACTAAATCCCTGGCTAACATTGTTCTATTAAATAGAAAAAAATAAAGGCATGTTGTAGAAACGTAATACTAACCTGTATCATCAGGTAAGCATTGTGGACGAAGGACTCTGCAAAAACTGTTTTAGGGTTATTTCCCTTAGATTCTTAATTCATGAGGGCAGTAAGCTTGAGCAGAGGGTGGTGGGAAGAGAAGGGTTTCTCTATTGAAATGCCGCAGTTGGAGTTTTTAAGATAGTGTAACATATTCAATTTCTTATGTGACATGAACAAATAATATTAAATTGATAATATTAAAAATGATCCTGTCTCAGTCAGGTCAACTGTAAACTTGCCCCTCACTCTTTTTGGTATTTTCAGGACAACTGGATTGCTCATCAGGATGACTTTAACCAGCTTCTGGCTGAGCTGAACACTTGCCACGGACAGGAAGCCACAGGTAGGGAAACAGTCACTGAATTTAGATGAGACGTAATTTTTCAATATAAAATATCTGAATCATCTCTCTACAGAAAGCATTATTAGATCTGAATGTCAGTTGATTGAAACATTACAGGTATTCAGTTCTGTTGGTGTTTTCCCTTAATGATCCTGTGGTCATCAGCATACACTTGTTTCCCTGTCATGATTTGAGAATGGCAAGATGATTATGTTTGGTTTACACCTTGCATAGTGAAGACAGTTTTATAGAGATGCTTGAATGTGACCGAAAGGATGCTTTTTTTATTTTATTTTTTATTTTTTTATCAGTACTGGGGATCAAACTCATGACCCCCTGCTTTCAAGGCAGGTGCTTATGCCGCTGAGCTAAATTCCCAGCCCCTGAAAGGATGCTTTTAAAATACAGGTAAGCAATACCACAAGAGACCATAAGCAAAGGTTCAGTAGAGAAGCTTTTTCTATGTTGATCCTTCCCACTGGGGTTTGCTTCACCTTTTAATTCACATAGGAGGGTCACATTGCCCAAGTGTCATGAAGTTGTGCCTTAAACTCCTGGGTCCGTGCAGGCCTCCCACTTCAGCCTCCCTGCTAACTGAGATGACAGGTGTGCCCACTGCACCTGGCTGAGGCAAGTCTTCCCGGGTATTTTACAAAAGAGGGTATATAAGTGCCCAAGAAACAGGCGACGAGGCGTACCATCAGGTCAGTCATCAGGACAATGCAGAGTATAACAGCCTGGTCCTCAGCGTCCCCATTGGGGCTTAGAAGACTGACAGCGGTGGGTTCTGCTGCAAATGCAGAACGGTGGGGATTGCTGCAGAGTGGGTTCCTAGGACCACTGGAATCAGATGCAATGACTTGTGACAGCTGAGGATCGGCATCGCCTTGTGTCCCGTCCAGCAGGTAGACAATGCAGGGGCACTATTTGCAGTATCCTCAAACTGCATAATCAGATGCCCCACCAGTAGAAGAGATAGATACACAGCCGCTTTTATAAATGCAAAGAAAAGTACAGTATAGTTACATGTGTGCATATAGAATGCCTTGGTGAAGGGCTAGATAGAAGTACTTTACAGGGTCTCCGGGTCTCTGTCACAGCTCCTCAGCTTGGCTATTAGGAAGTAAAAGCCATAACAGTATGTAAACAAGAGAATGTAGCTGTGTCCCCATGAAACTTTATTCCCCAAAGCAGGTGGCCCACAAATTATAGTTGGCTCCCTAGTATAGAGGGTTCCTTAATTTAATGTTGACTGAAAGAAGATGGGCACAAAATACGCATCCAGTATGGTCACACTTACACAAACTGAAAATACCAGACTGCACTCTGAATTAAGGTGCTGTGCTTAGGTGGCCAAGTTATTCTAAGGAAAGAATACTCCCACCATGAAGGCTGTGCCAGCCATACGTTCAGCAAGGGGGCATTTGGGCTTGAGAAGGGGCTCCTGAGGAATTTCCGGGGTTATGTTAATACTCTGTTGCTTCACCTGTCTGACAGTTACAAATATTTGTAATCATCATGTTTTATGCACTTTCTCTGACTATTATCTCTACCTCCAAAAAAAAAAAAAATTTTAAAACAACTTTTTTTCTTGGTCTTTTTGAGACAGAGTCTCTCTGTGCAGTCCAGGCTGGCCTTGAGCTCACTTTGTAGCCCAGGCTGGTCTCAAACTTACAATAATCCTCCCGCCTGGAATTACAGGTGTGTGCCACCACGCCCGGCAGTTCAAAACAAGTGTGTGGGGAGAGTTATCAGAAAAACTGTGATAAGTTAGGCCAAGATACTGCTCCTCAATGGGAGTGGGACCTGTGGCAATGTCTGCAGATGATTTTTAGCATCACAGCTGGGGAAATGTTCCTGGCATCTAGTTGGAGAGGGTCAGAGAGTTGCTAAACCTCTCAAGAGTGGGTAAGGAGTTGTGCCTCCCAGCTAAAAACATTACCACATTGCACAAAATGTCAGCAGAACACAGGTTAAAAACTGTTCTAGGAGAAAGCAGAAAATGGGGAGCACAGGCGCATGGAGAGTGGATGCTTCTAAATCCTGGCAGTGCCTGTCTGTCTCTTCACCCTGGAGGTGCTTACACAGAGGTGTGCTTTATAATTATTCAGTGGTGCGGATTTTAACTACATATATATGTGTATTTTATGGTAAAATAATTAAAAATTGCATGGGCTCATTCCGATAGGACTTCAGGTAAAATATGGTGTGTATTTTATTTTACATTAAGGCTGTAATGAAGGGTAACTCATTAGAGAAGTTTCTTCCTTAGAGAAACAGATACAGCAATTTGAATACCAAGGGCCACTTCTATTGTAATGAGTAGCTAATGGTGTGTGAATAGCTGTTTTTCTAAACACAGCAAGTTGTGGCTAGGGGGTCGCTTTTTTTTTTTTTTTTTTTGTCTTTTTCCTTTTTATCGCTACCAGGGATCAAACTCAGGACTGCCTGTTGGCAAGGCAGGCACTTAAGCCGCTGAGCTAAATCCTCAGCCCCTGGGGCGTTGCTCATTCTTGAGGGCTTTTGCTACCCAGGGTACTCACAGAAAACCAAAACTTGAGTCTGGATTCTTTCCTTAAAGGACCCCCACACACTCATTCTTAAACATGGAGACAGACCTCTTTGTACTGATTGGTGTCATAACTTTCTCAGTGCCTGGTACACTAGTTAGAGAATACTTGTAGCTCTGCAGGCCACAGGAATAGCAAAAAGTGTTGATAGAAGATCGAGTTTTATGGATCAGCAGAAGAGAACATAGATTGTTGAGATTTGATGGTGGTAGCTGGACCCCTTGTTTGGTAGTACCATGACCAGGTGCATTCTGAGTGAGGGATGTCATGGTGGTAGTTTTGGGGACCTTGGCTGGAGAGGTGCTTCTTGGTGGCCCTTCCTTCCTGGTGTGCCCCCAGAAGCTCAGGCAGTGCTGTTTTGAAGGCTCCGCTCAGCCTTGTGTTGTCAAGAGTGCTCTGAGCACCTAGAACATTTCATGAGGTAGTGCCTTGTCCCCATGCAGGCTCTTTTATAGACTACCCGTGCAAGAGTAGTGTTCCTTTCCCACCCGAAACTTCATAAGGACTTTAGATGATTCAAAGTGGAGGCATTGATGATCTGTAGGTAAGTTCCACTTGAGGCCACTAGAGGGGGCCAGTGCCACGCACCGGTGAGTGAGGAGCAGAGGCTCTGTATCTGGCTGCCTGCCTTGCCAGACCTGGAGCTGCAGCCCAGAATGGAGAAGGCCTTACAGCATTCCTTTTAGGGAAGTCTTTCCCAGGGGCTGCAGCTGGAGAGCTAGTCAGTTATTTTCCTGCTGTGTTACTTTTGGCAAGTAGAGTGTCTTCATCCAAGTGGCGTTTTGATCACAGTTACAGCATTGTTTGTTAAAGCTGAAAAGCAGATGACACAGTCAGCAGAACATGCTTTTCTGCTGTAACAGTGTCCTTAGCGCCTTACGACTGCCTACCAGACTCAACCATTGGCATTCAACTAAGCAGCCATTGCGTGTGGTCTTCTAGAGTCTTGCAGAGAGTAGAAGTAACTGCCTTTGTTGGACATGACGGTCAGCATGTTCTTTTAGATTTCATCCCTAAAAGCTATCTCACCCACTTGGTTATGCACTTTTGGAGTCAGGGTAGCATTTTGGTGGACTTACCCCCATTTTAGGAAATGCTTGTTAACATCTACCAGGTATCTTGTCACTGATGGTTTTAAATATTTGGGGAAGTAAACTGGGATGCTGAGAATCTGTGATACCCAGATGCATGGTTCAGAGTAGGCATCTTCAAAATTGTTTTGCTTACTTCTACAATAAAAACATTTTGAAAAACAATATGCTCTATCACATTTTTAGATCAACATCCAGGATTTTTAAAAATCATATATACATAGTTGCAAAAGAATAATTTCATACCTATTGGGAAATATTGCCAATTACAATAAATCCATTATATCTATCTTAAATATAACTAATGAACAATAAATGGAATTTGAAAATAAAACCATTATATCATCCTAAATGCCTACTCTTACTGTTAAATACTATAGCAATTTGATACTAATTATCATCTACTTGAAAATAAATACTTTAATAGAAGTGTTACACTTCCCATACCTTCCCCTTGAATACTGTTCCATTTCATGTACTCCATAGTGGTTTGTGTTATTTTATTCTTAAACTTTTTAAAATTGATTACCCTTTTATATTTCTGTATAACAGAACAAAAACATGTAAATTTTTGTTGATTTCTACAACTCCAACACCTGTAAAAGATTTTTCCTTTAGAGTATGTTGTCGTTATAATTAGAAGATTACAATTAGTAAAACCAGAAGGATATGCTACAAATATTGGTAAATATTTTATTAAACAAAACCAGGAACTCTCTGGTAGTACGTCTTGTGACGAGCTTGGCTGGGTGGTGGTTTGGGAAGCTGGTGTAATGGCTGTAATTAGAGGACTGGTGCCCAGTATTAGTACTTGGGTTATTCCTCGTTGGTCTTGAGGGGAAGCAATCTCGTGCCTTCTGTTGCATTGCAGTGGAGGGCAGGCAGGACAAGAGGGCCGGGCCATGCTGCCCCAGCCCCAGAGTAGTGCTCGGAAGAGTGCATGTGACCCGTAGCACATGACTCACCCCCCATGGTGAGAACGCCCAGTGAGGCTGTGGTTAGGGGTGGTGCGTAGCTAGGTCTGTCTGGTGCTGTGCCTCACTCATCCTCCTCATGGTGAGTTCTGGAATCCTGACTGGTGCTGTGCTGGTACCTGGTAATTTCTCAGATGATTTCCGTTTGCATACCAGCACTGAAAATGTTATGTGCCATATGAGCTCGTGATCACAGAAGGAGGAAAAAAAGTTTCAGGTGGATGTTTTTTTGGGGGGTGGGGGACAAAGTGTTTTTGAGAAGCAGCTGCAGCCAGTTGGCCTCAACCTGGGCTGGGTGTTGTCTGGACTCCGGAAACACTGGTGCACGCCTGGCTCGGTGCCTCTGCAGAACCCATGTGCACTCCAAGTTTGAAATAGAGTGCCGAGCACCTGGGAGGGACTGCACCCCTCGCATGTCACTGTGGCCTGGGCCGTGCTGCCATGTCAAGGTGAAAGTGTCCATCTTCCCCTTTCTTTAACCTCCAAGCCAGGTGTCCTTAAAAGCGTAGGCGATTCGGCCCTGTGTAGCTGTGGCGGGCTGTGTCTGTGCTGCTCTGCTCTGCGGACGCACAGTGGGTAGTTGAGTGGGTGGGGATGGTTAACTAGTTAACGTCTTCTGATTGACTAGCGTGAACTTGCTGTGGTGTTTCTGGCTCACACCTGCTCTGTCTGCTGAGGAATGAGCACAGGAATGTATTCCTGAGTGAAGGGTTTCGGGGTTCTTGTCCCTGCAGGAGTCCCCCCGGGAAAGCTAGCGTCCAGGCCGTAGTCAGTGCCAGCTGTCCTTCGTGCTTACCCTCATCACTCATGTTTCTGGGATGACCCTTCAGGTTGTCTCCATCTTTGTTTACATTTAAGATAACTTCTTATTTGGGAAGTCATTAGGCATTTTTCATTAGTAAATACAAAATGGTACAAAGATTCCTGAAAACCCTTCCTCAAGATATCCCCAGAGTGACATCTCAGGTTTCTGTGGCTGTGGACACCATGAAGTTGATGCTTAGTGTCACTGTTAGCCAGGTCCCAATCCTCCGTGACTGCTCACCGTGGCTTTTCGCTTTCATTCTTTCGCACCGGCACGTTTACCACAGTGGAGATGCAGAATTCACCATGCTGGCTGTTCATGTTCACACCCACCTTCCACCCTTCCACTCCTGACTCCCCACTTTTATTCCTGTCCCCTAGAAACTGTTGACCTGTTCTCTGCCTCTGTAGTTTTGCCACTCTGAGAATGCTGTATAAGTGCAGTCATGTAGTATGTACCCCTTTGAGACTGCTTTTTTCACAAGCAAAAGCCCTGAGATCCAGCAGGTGCGCACATCAGTGGTCAGATCCTCTGGCCTGCAGGGTGCGCGCAAAGAATTGGCTCAGCCCGTCATTCATCTTTGGAAGGATTTTTGGGGTAAGCCAGTATTTATATTAGCCTTATTCAGAATACTAGAGACTTCTGTGTAAGAATGGGTTTATTTCTCTTAAGAATTTCATAAATTTTTGGATGATAAGCTTGCCAGACCCCTAATATGCAATTTTATTTTTATTTATTTATTTACTTTTTCATAGTACACAAATTTAAGAAATACTTATTGGGTAAGAGTTTAGCAGTAAATGATGGGGCTCCTAAAAATCTTAAGAAAACAACTGAGAATGGATTACACGGAATTCAATATAGTTCAATGTCTTTCCTCTTTAAGATTCCCCAGACAACAAGGAAAAGAAATCTTTCAACCTTGAGGAAAAGTCTAAAGTCTCCAAAAACCGAGTTCACTACATGAAATTCACAAAAGGTAAGCTCTAGCATTTCTTTATTTGTTGCTGGAATCTGTGTGTTCATGCTTGGTCTCAGTTCCTCACCATCAGCGGCTGACTTCTGATTTGTGTACTGAATGGGCCATCTGGGCAGCCTGCCAGGCACAGCCTGCCGGGGTGCAGCCTGCGGGGGTGGGAGGACAGCCTGCCGGGGGCACAGCCGCGGCAGCCCAAGGCTGCTGTTGGAGTACAGGCCCAGGGTCTGGCCCTGGTGAGGCTTCCGTGTCACAGGTCCCATGGCAAAGCTGAGAGTGGAAGTGAGTGTGCTGTTTGGGGAAACCAGGAACGTGATATGGCTAGGTAGAAGACAGCTTTAACTTGCTGGTCAGCATCTTAGGCACATCTTCATACTTTCCGGAGCTAAGTGTTGGTGTGGAACAGTCCTAGGTGCTCACCGAGTCACCCTCTGCAGTGAGAGCCCCCCTGTGATAAAGCACACCCCCATGTTGACCTTGCTCATGGTCCAGCCTCCCCACTGTAAGCATCGCACTGTCATCTCCAGGGTGGCATTGGGAACCGTGTGTGGGGTTGGTGGAAGAGCCTGTCTGCATCCCTGCTGCCCCCTGCATGCCTCCCACCTTGCCAGGCCCCATAGCTGTCCTTGTGAGTGCAGTTGTTCCCTGTTTCCACTAGGTGTCAGTTTTGTACTGGTGAGAAGAAACCATTTAACTCGACAGAATCTACTGCCAGCCTCTTCCCATAGAACAGCCACATGGCTTTTTATGACATAGCACACCTGCAGTACACTGCACATGGTGATGCTGCTGCTGGGACATCCGGCCACATCTGATTGTTCCTCTCTGGGATGTTAGCTATATGCCAAGAAAGGCCTGTCTTTCTGCTTTAGTTTTGGCAGCTGGACTTGGGGACCCTCAGTTTTAGGGGCTCACCTGCAGGACAGCAGGAGGTGGCATTCCCACTACTCTAAACCGTTGATTGTGTATCTCATTTGGGGCCAGGATCCCAAAAGGTGGGACTAGGTCTGGTTGCAGTGAGACTTGTACTCAGGAAGAGGCTGGTGCAGCCCTTCCGTCTCCCTCGGGCGTGCTTTTGGGCAGTTCCCCTGCTTCCTCGGAGGCTAAAACCTTGGTTACTGACTTGTGGGCTGCTGGACGGAAACTGACTTTCTAGCCCCTGAGTCCTTCGGAGGAGAAGAGAGCAGAGGATCCGGATCTCCTCCCAGATCCTACCATGGCCTTCAGCACCACGGGAGGAACGGAGACAAGTGGGCAGGGGTGTGGCAGGTGCGTGAGTGAGAGTAAAAGGGACCAGCTTGTGGGGTGCGAAGCTTGTCACGACATCCGTCTGCACAGAGTCTCCAGTTGTCCTTTCGCACCGGACTCCACACCTGACTTCATCTGAAGTCTTGTCTCAGCTGGGTAGATCTCTAGTTTGCTGTAACCTACTGGGTGCCTCTAGGATCTGTTTTCTATTTTTGGTTAAACCTCTCCCTTGCTGGTGACCCTGGTAAACTGCTTGGGAGGTTGCGCCTTCATTTTCCCTCTTAAAAAAAGGTTTGCATATTTATTAGCCCCCTTGGAGATAAGAGAGGCCTTTGGTCCTATGCAAAAAGGCAGGAGTTCAAGATAAGCTGTCAGGTAGAAGCGGAGATTGCGTTGGTGATGTGTTGGTGATGGAGCACACACAGAATAAGTATAGAAGACAAGAGAAGGAAGCAGGAGCCGGACGTGCAGCCAGGCTTGGCCTCCCTGCGCAAGACCTGCGCCCACCCCACGCTAGGCCGGCGCCGCGATGGCAGAGATGGGCAGCAAGGGGGTGACGGCGGGGAAGATCGCCAGCAATGTGCAGAAGAAGCTGACCCGCGCGCAGGAGAAGGGGACAGTACAGCTGGAGGATTTAAAGTCGTGCTGAGACCGGAGGCTGCAAATCCCACGCCCTTAAATCAACGAACAGACTCGTGGACCCAACACGAAAAGCTGAGTTGCTTTTGGGGACTGCGGAAACTGAGACCCAGATCGAGACTCCAGGCGGCAGCCAGTTCTGCACCGCTGCACCAGAGCAGATGTACAGAGCTCTGGCGTTTCGAATCTAAACGGTGCACAGAAATCTGACCAGTCAGCGCTGAGCCGCAAGGTGTGGAAAAGTGGACGGCTTGGTGTGTGGCGGTCCCGGAACGAGGACTTGCACCGGACTCTGGTGAGTATAGAAAACCCCGCGGCGGCTGGGTTTGGCCAGAGAACAGCTGGCCCGCCACCACGGGGAAATCAATAACACAGAATCTGGTGCAGACATATTAGCCTGGCGGCAGAAATCGCAGCTTGGTGACATCACCAGGACCCCCTGTAGGGAGGGCTGGTGGAAGACATCTTGAGTCCTGGCAGAGTCTGATTGCTTGCTGGCTTCAGCTCCGCACGGAGAACTTAGTGGGAGCCATCTTGGTTTTGGGCAGATCTGCTTTTCTAGAGCTCCTATCACAGAGAGGTTTGGAAGAGAAAGGCTGGGACCTGGGCAGAATCCTGTGCCATTACCCAGCTGCTTCTGATTCAGGGAGAACTGGCAGGAGCTGTTGGGGCTAGATCAGGCCTCTGCTTGGGGCCCAATGGGCGGATGCAGAATGGTCACAACTCAGTGACAACCAGAAAGTACAGCCTAATTTATGAACTAACTGACACAGAGGCTAGAGACTAGACTGTACCGCCCCTGCATCCCAGCCTACCCCAGATAACAGCAAATTGGGGAGGACAGCAAAAACTCAAGCCGGCACGCTTCTGAAAGGCCCTAAGCAATTCGGAGAGGGCCAGAGAACTCCAGGACAGTCTGAAAGAAACCAGAAACATGACAAGAGATAAAAATAAAAAAAAATCTCCAGCTGTTCAACAGGAGAAATTAAACCCAAGAGAACTAAACACTGAAGAGAACAAGCACAGTAACCATCCATTGCTCGACTCAGCATCAGCCGAAATTAAAAAGTATTTACACGATCTCATAGAGGAATTTAAAGATGTACTCCTGATCCAAGTGAGGCAAGATATAAAGAGATTAATTAAAGAAATGACAAGCCCTGCCCAAGAGAACACAGATGGAAGAACTGAGGAAATCAGAAAAGAAAGAGAAGCATCTGAAGAATTTAAGCATAACTTAGAATACATGAAACAGATCCAAAGAGAAAATCAGGAAATTAAAAACTCCATTGAATATTGGCAAAATGCCTTGACAGAAACTAAAGACAACCTTTTGAAACTTGAAGAGAGATTTAGGGCTTATGAACGTGAAAGAAAAAGCCTCTTAAAAATAACAAGGAACCAGAAAGAAGCAATTCTAAAACTGGAAGATGATAAAAAGATGCATAACCTAAGAATAAAGAATGTGAGTGAGGAAGCAGGAACATCCAAAAATGAAATACAAAAAATATCCACAGAGATATTAAAGCAAAATTTCCCATGTATAGCAAAAAGAAATGATATCCAGATAAAAGAAGCATACAGAACGCCAGCTACCTACAACCAAAACAGATCTACGCCTAGGCATATAATAATCGAGATCCCAGAAATCCACCAAAAAAACAGAATATTAAAAGCAGCCAGAGAAAAGATGCAGGTTACCTATAACGGGAAATCTATCAAAATAACGGCAGACTTATCAACACAAACTCTTAAGTCAAGAAGGGAGTGGGGAGAAATATTCCAAGTCCTGAAGGAAAAAAATATGCAACCTAAGTTCATATATCCATCAAAACTCTCTCTAAAAATTAATGAAGAAATAAGATACTTTCAAGACAAGGAGGAACTGTGGGAGTTCGTGGCCACCAATCCAACCCTACAGAGAGCGCTGAAGGACATTACAGAGAAAGAGAGGAAGAAATATCAGGATTACAGCTACAGTGGCAGAGAGGCCTCAGTGTACGGGGCAGACCATGGAATGAGGGAATAAGGTGGACAAATTATAGCAGAAAAGTGGAGTAGCAGACATGAGGCAGAGACGGTAAGCTAGTCTTTGGTAGAGACAGCTCTGAAACTATATTTAAAAAAAAAAAAAAAGAAAAAAGCAGAGGTCATTGCTAATGGTGTATAACGATTTAAAAGACACAGTAGTCCTAGTGCCATATTTAGATTGAATTAAATTTGTTCTGGTCTGTCCACTCATATCAGATTTGAGGACACAGACCTCTAGAACCAAAAATAGCAGGTTATACCATGGTAACCATCCTTACTTTCCTATTGACTTAAGCTGAAATCCTGTATTACTTACATTGTCTTACTATGACTGATCTTAATTGTATCTGAATCATAAGACTATTGGTTGGCCTTGACTGATCCTATTTGAAATCCGTATGCGTGTTAGAATCAACCCTAAAAGTAGAGGAAACTACTCTGAGCATGACAGGATGTAAAGGATATCCATACTGGTATGAATCAGTAACAGCTCTCAAATACTACAATGCAGTCAAAGATAAGTTTTTATAAAAATAGATGATAGTATATTTAACTATAATAAGCCAGTGTTGTCGACAAATCTATTGAAAATAACAAGAGAAAACATAGTAGCTACGGAAGATCATTTATATTATAGTTTTGTAAGTCTTATCCATTGCATGTTTATCTAGGAAATTGTTTCGCTGTCTTGTTATGAATTGGTTTTCCCTATAATACAGAGAGGATAGGAACAAATACTCTGAGGAAGAGACCTGAAAAACCCGAGGCTTATTTTGTAGCATTATAATATAAATTCTAGCAATCTACTGCCTGCTGATTAAAATGACTCTGGACTGGTTTCTTCAGCTCAACTTCAGCATATGCAGAGATGGGGACGGCTATCACAAAGAGAATGAGAGATGCGATGGTAGTTGGAAATGTCTTCCCTAATTTGGAACTTGAGGACCTAAAAAGACTCCATCATCCTGTAATGATTTGATTAGTTCTATAATATGCAATAAGTATAGAAAGTGGGTGAAGTTAGGGACAACTATCTGTAAGAAGCTAGAGACAGTTAGATAAGGTAGATCTCCAGTGGACTTGCTTTGAAATCTGTATTTCTTTAAATTGTTTTTTATTTTTTTTTTAAATGTTCTGTTCTGTTTTGATATGGTTAACCTTATCCTCTTAGAGATGTAAAACAAATAGATGGGACTGATAATCATATTACGGAGCTTTTGTTCGGCCATAGAGCAGAATGGTTTGTAGGGTCACTTTTTTGAATGTCATTCTAAATACTTTAATTCTATAACCTAAACAGCCATTTCGAAGAAGACAATTTGTAACTTATCAACTGGCAATTTCTTACCTTTTGTTTGTCTGTAATTTAGTATTATTTTTCTACCCTTTTATTCTTTAATCTCCATGTATTTTTTTTTTTTCGTTTCCTTTTCTTTAAATAAAAAAAAAAAAAAAGAGAGAAGGAAGCAGAAGTCTAGGTGGCAAGGAAAATCGTTACTATGCCCACCTTCACCATCGCAGTGAAAGCTCACCTTAAAGTTGTTTTAATTTCTTAAAAGGAACTCTTTCCTCTACAGCCAGTGTTGGATGTGAGCGTGACTCATAAACTTGGTCTGGGGGGCCTGGCTTCTGGCCACAGTGCTGCTGGACATAGTGACAAACCAGTTTCCTTCCTTCAGACTCAATTTCCTCTTCTTACAAATGAGGAAACGTTTGTAAGTCCCTGTGAAGGTCTAAATTAGGTTCTGTTTCTCGAGTAATGAGAGGTGGCCCCTATATGGCGCTCATACATCTTTGGCACTGTGGCTAACAGAGATGTTAGCCCGTGGACATACTCATAATGGAATTTACCGATTCAGTTAGTTGAGGAGGGTGATTCATATTGTGACTTCAGCTGGGGTTCAGGAAGCCAAGCATGAGGAGATGACGCTTTGTAGAACTTGATAAAAATTGCACATGAAAGTTTTGCCATAGCAAATGAGTGCCTGGATACTATGTAATTATCAGAACTGATAACCCCAAATTTATCATTTTAATTTGAAATAATAAAGTTACTTTCATCCACAGTTATTTAAAACCTAAATAACTCTAGTGTGTGTGCTTGTTTGAGTGTTTGAGAAATGTTTGGTAAGGCTACATCTGCATGGGGGAATAGCAATCTGTGCAGGACCATTTTTCCCCGCAGTCCAGTGGGAGGCTTGGGTAAGCACCGCTTCTCCCCTTTGGTAGTGCAGTGGGCAGATGAAAAGTGCCAGAAACTGTAGCAGTCCAGTTTTGTCCCAGCAGTTCACGAGACCGCATGTCCCCATGTGGTTTCATATGCTGCTCAGACAAGGCCACCACCTGCATGATGCATATTCCAGGCGGCTGGTGGGTGCAGGAGCACTGTTAGCTCCTGCCGTGTTGGAATGTGTCATCAGGGAGAAGGCTGGGTCTTCTCCCTGACCAAGACCAAGGGGTCTTTTTTCTGATTCTGTAGACATTTAAATATCAAGTAGCACCACCTCATACTACCTTCTTATTGGTTATTTGGGTCTCACTCATTCATTTCAGCCCACCCTGATTCTTCTAGATGCTCTGCTTTTCGGACATTCTCTTTTGGTGAAGTTGGTTTGTTTTCTGTCCTGGGCTTACTATTCCTCACGTGTTACATGAAAAGAAAAAAACCAAAGTATAGTATTCTAGTATTTTGTTTCTTCTTCTTGATTGAAAATGCAAATGATTTTTCTAAATAATTGAAGCTACCTCATAAGCCTTATGTTTTTCTTGAAAAAATATATTTCTAGACTCTATTATTTCCTTTCCCTTGACCCATTTTCCTCAGAATAGACTCTACATCCTGTGCACTTGACTGGCCTTAAAGGCATGGCATTTGGTCTACCTCCTGGCTGCTAGGACTGCAGGCGTGCCCCACAGTGCCCATTGTTACATACTGGTTTTGAGCCTCAGTTATAGTACTGTTTTCTCTTAAAACTTAGTGAGCTATTCCTTTGCTTTTAAACTGAATGATTACAAATCCTTGCAGGGCCTCAGTTCTGCTATCTGTTAGAGTCTGTTTGCTTCCCTTGTGGACATCTTGGTATGGTACATGGGTCTCACTATGGCCGTGTTGTGTCTGCTGCTCTGCTGGAAAACCTGGTAGCCACAAGGACAAGGCAGGCAGCTAAAGTGGTCCAGTGCCCAGGGCTCTTGTGTAAACTGTGTACTCGTGGTTGTGTGGATGGTAAATAGATGACTCAAGCCCAGGTGGATCATATGTACTTCCTGTTCTTTTTGGAGTTTTCATACTGTCCTTTTCCTCTAAGATTTATTGGCAGTAATTGCTATGATTTCACCATCTTTCAGAAATGAAGCTAGTAAGCTTTCAAAATTTATTTTTTGTATAGTTTCTTCAGAGTTTTATGTTTACAAACTATTCAGCCTGAACCGTTAACTAGTAGCAATCTCAAAATCACCTCCATCTTCACATTCCCTCCTAGGTTCCTTCTCAGTGGTGTCTGACTCTCCTTTCTTCTCTGTGTTCTTGTTTTCCAGATCAAATCCAGAGCAAGGCCTGTAACAATCCTGGTTTCTGCATTTACTTAAATGAACTTTGCTAGAGGATAGAAATTTGTAATACAAGAATCCATCACCAGAACTCTAGAGATGCTTGCACCTGCCTAGGTACAGACAGCTTACTGTCTCCTGGCTCAGCAGTTTCCCTTTGACCTTGAGATATGCTCTAATTCTCGGTGTGTTTGTATTTTGACATCATGTTTTAGAGTTGTGGTCTCCATGCAGTCCCCCACACCTTGATCCCTCCAACTTTGAATTTAACTGGTGTGTAAGAGATCTTGATTTACACTTCCTTGTAGGGTATCTCTTTCATCCCAGGGGACAGGTTAGAGATACACACAGCACTGCACTTGCCAGTGAGCACTGCGAACTGAGCTCGGGGCCGCCTGCATGTGCTTTGCAGTGTGAGATGGGCTGCACTGATGAGAGCTGAGAATAGGTCCCTGTACCTCCTTGGAGTTAGTTCACTTCCGGCCCCGGGACCTGTCATCCTCCCAGCTTTCGGGCTTATTTCCTGGGCTCCTAACTCTGCTATGCCTCATTCCTGTGTTGAGTAGGTTTTCTCTGGGGTCTTTTGTTGAAGCTGTGTTTGCTAGTCAGAGTCAGGCGGCCTGGTTTCTAGCTCAGGTGAAGGCAAGGGGCAGTCCATAGGGCCACGGTGGGACCCCCTGCCCTCCAGGAACCAGTTATACCAACTGTAACGTTTCATCAGATGCCCCTGCCTCTGGGATTGGTGCTGTTCCTGGTTTTGCATTAAGTCAAAGGGTGTTTTGTTGTTTAATTTCATGGAGTCACTGAGCAACACTATAATTGAATGCCCCGGTGATAGTCAGTGAACCAAAACCTTCTGGGGCATGACATTGCTGTGCCAAATTGGTTTGCTACAGGAAACCACAAAGGCAAGTGAGTCTGCCGCTGTGCAACCTGGCTGCTTCCTCGAAACAGATTCCTCTGCCACCCTCCCCAGAGCAGTTATGCTTTCAAACGCACATACTGTGATGTTGACAAATGGGAAAGGATTGGGCTGGTTGCTCATGGAGTGTGACTGGGTGGAAGTGGGATTCCAGCAGACTGAGTTTCCAAATTAGTTAGTTTGTGGGTTTGAAATCAAGTTAGAGTTTAGTTTTTAAAATAAGAATGATAGATCCTTTGTATATGTTTTTACCAGAGCCACTTAATTTCCGACTGTCACTATGTGATTAACCTTTTTTTTGTAGATGATACAGCTATCGTAATTAGGAGTATTTTTTAAAAGAACAATTTGAACTTATATTTGCATTTCTTTTTAATATTCTTTTCTGTTAATAATTATTGATCCTATGTATCAATAACTACTAATTGGATGAGTGAAAATTTAAAATGTTTGAAGCTATACACTGAACAATATTTCATAATCCTCAATAAGTAACTTTTATCTCTTTGAAGTGATTGAAATCTCTGTTCTAACCAGAAACCCAAAGACCCAGATACTGTGTCTCAAAGGTGTACCAGAAGCAGGATCAGCCTTGAAGCTGAGTTTTCCTCAACATCTGTAAGCTCTAGTTTATTTTTATAGTTAGCAGGGAGTGTCAAAGAGTTCTGTTTCTAAGGTAGTTGAAAGGGTTTTGGCCCAGCTGGGATACTGTAGCCAGTAAAGCCAAGGAGCTCCTATCTCCCCCCACCCTTAGGAATTGCCTCTGGCGCCAAACTAAGACCAATGGGCTACCTGTGCATCCCTAATGCCCCCTTGGGTTCCACCCCAGGCCGAGGCTACTTATGAGAGATCACCTGCCCGGCCCGGGGTGGAGATGCCACGCCCCATGGGGGTCGGAGGTGTCTCTCCCCGAATTCCCAAAATAAAGGTTATTTATATTTTATACTTCTTATCTTTTCAGCCACAGCCGGTCCTCTTCCTCCTCTTCCTCCCCTCTACAGTTCTATCAGTAGTTACTTGATTCTTTAATTTTATTCATCAAAGAGTTGTGATTTTTAAGGGCAGGCGGAAAGCAGTAATTAAAGACTGTATTTCTTTTCTACAAGTTGTGTTCTTTTCAAGAGTTTCATAATTTAGATTCACACTCCTTGTTTTAGAATGAATGGCCTTACTGTTACTGAAAAGTACCATGTTGCTTTCCTAGGAAAGGACCTGTCTTCTCGAAGCAAAATGGATCTTGACTGCATTTTTGGGAAAAGACAGAGCAAGAAGACTTCAGAGGTATGGAGACATGTCCAGTTGAGATGCTCTGTTTCATACTGTGTGGTTTTCAAGTGTGAGTGTCTGTGAATAACAGTACTACCTTGCAGAGAAGGTTACCACCACCGCCCACTCCATACTTCTAAGGACTTCGTATAAAAGCTAATGCTGATCTTTTTACTGCTAGTATGTGGCACTCACATTTTATAAGGAACCTTAAAAACGGAATGTAATACCTGTTCTATCGTTTCCTACTGTGAGAACAAAAACAAAAACCTACTGCTGATATATTCAAAGAGAAAAATGTCCCCATCACCAAAGGAGATGAGGGCATCTATAAGGACCTTTATTGTTTATCTCCTGCTGCTCTTTGGTCTGGAATGTGCTGGAGGGAGAAGGCGGTATAGTGCATGCAAACCCTGGACCCATCTGTTCCATCAGGAGGGCATCTGAACAGTGGTCCATCAGCATCTTTCGGCAGAATTCTTTTCAAAACTAAAAGAGAAGGCAATGACTAAGCTACCCCCTAAATTTGATGAACTCATAATTCAGAATCCTAATTATTAGACTGACCATGTAATTCACAGAATTGTTACGTTTTCAAATGTAAGAGATAGCTTTGAATGTCAAGATATTAGAATTTTTGAAATACAAATTTCTGGAATGAAACTGGTATTATCTAAGAAACCCTGGACTATATGGTAGGTACAGCTGTTACTCAGCTAATCTGCTCTCGTGTGTCACACTTAATTCCTCTAATGATTCCTAGTGAAGGTTCGTGGTGACTAGAAGAAAAAAGGAACTTGTTCATTTCCCTCTGTCATTTTTTCAGGCTAAGACAAGTCTTTTTTTCCACAGTGGTTAATTTTTAGTACTCAATATTAATGTTAGAGACTCTGGGGTTATTGGTGATGAGAAATTGTGTTGGGTGATTTCCCTTCACATTGGGACTGAGTTCCCAGGTCTTAGCACTTGGGTGCTCTACCCCTGCAGGGTGAGGGTGGCAGAAGCCATCCCCCCACTCCCAGATCTGTCCGGCTGGTGGCTATAGGTTCTGTGCCGAGTCGAGAGGCAGCAGCTGGTCCTCAGGAAGGAGGAGTTCGGACCTCTGACCATATCAGATGTTCTTTCATAAGAGAGGTTGCTAGAAAGAGCAGCACTGCTGAGACAGGCTGGCTCTGGTCCCTTCTGCCCCTCTGTGGTTATCTTGTGGTCTGGATCAGGTCCTTCCTAGTTACTGAAGACTGTGGTACCCATCCCGTCTTAGCCTTCTTCTCCAAGCCCACCTTTGATAGTGCTGTGTGTTACCTGAGAACCCAGCTTCCCAGTCCCTTCCCTCCTGCTATCACCTCTCTGCCCAACAGCTCTCCAGTGGCCAGACTGTGCCCTGGTACCAACCCTACCCCCTTTCCCTTCTCCACCTCTTCCAACTTGCTAGGCTGATAGTTCCCTTGGACTGGCCCTCAGATCCTTCTCCTTCCCTTCCCTGCTCCATTCTCTATGGAAATCTTACATATTCTAATCATAGACAGAAATACTGTTTATCGGCCTGTGGTAGAACTTTAAGGCAGAAAGCTTTCCCTTTTAGGAGATTAGGGTTTCTAATCTTCTCTCGGACTGCTGAGACCGGTTATTAGGTGCCATGAGGTGTTTCCTCATGTGGTCATGTCATCATCACGCAGTCCTGTCCAAACAAGAAGTTCACCTGTGTTCCAGGTGCTTCAGCAATTTCCTTGTGCTAGTCCAGGGAAACTCATTTAGTCCATATAGATGCGGTATAGATGCGGTCAACCTTGATATTGTGCTGTGTTTTTGTTTTTGTTTTTTTGAGACAGCATCTCTTTATGTAGTCCAGGCTGGTCTTGAGCTTAACTATGTAGCACAGGCTGGACTCAAACTCACAGTGATCTTTTTGCCTTGGCCTCCTGAGCGCAGAAATTACAGGCATGCACCACCATGCCCAGCCTTGAGCAATGTTTTATGCAAGGTCTGTTCCTCCCAACTGGGTCTATCTGGGTTAGTGTTTTCCACCAGTGGATGTATAGGTGTGACTGTGCATAGGATGACTCCTGGCCTATCTGGGTTCATGCTTCTTCTGGTTATGTGGTGAGACCGGGGTGTTTATAAGAAGTGACCAGACCCTTGGCTTCCATTCAGTTGAAGGAGTACTGCTGTGTTTTTTCTTTCCTCGACCACATCACAGTTGTGACTTGAATACTTGGCTTTGCAAAGGCCCTTGTTCTACTACAGGCCAGATGCTTCAGGAGGCTGAGGAACTGTGGTCATGTTGAATATGAGGACAGTGGCTCTCGGAACAATGCTGATCCTGACCTGTGCCCCACATGTACAGATTTAGGACCTCACAGTTGGGCACATTTCTGATGCATGGTGGGCCTAGCCTACTGATTGTAATTACTATATCCCTCAACCATCATAAAAGTGATCACTTTGTTAAGCATCTGCATGTCAGGCACTGCGCAGTGCTTGTGATAATATTCCACTGAGCCTGGGTGACAATCCTGTGAGGTAGATGTGGTGCCCTCTTCTTAGCAGTGAGGAAACTGAGGCCCAGAGAGAAGTGTTAACGCTTCAAAGTGATGCAAGTAGGATTTAAATCTGGTCCCTCTAACTCCAAAATCAGTGTTCTTTTCTCTATCCTGCTACTGCCACTGTTAATGAAAAAAAAATTTTTTTTTGGCACTGAAAACAATTTACACTGAACTGATTTGGGTGTGCTTCTTTGAGTCTTTATTAGAGACACTAGCACTGTGTCATCACTGTGAGACTATGATTAGCTGTTCCCATTTTGTAGAAATCAAAGGTTTAAATTTCAGAACTTCACCTCTTGTCTTCAAGGCGGAGTGCTTCGGATTCAGAGATATGGGGCCTACAGGCAGCCTCGGGAACTGTTTTTCCTTCCTGGGTGGAGCCAGAGGCCCAATTAAGAAAGCATAGTTTCTGCAGCATAGATGCTGTACTGTTTGTGTCTTTTGTGGTCTTTCAAGTTGAGCCAACTGATCTGAATATTTATGTTCAAGAACCATCTTCACCTCCTGATTAATGGTCATGAGAGGTTTGACCTTTTATTTTGAAATAGTTACAGATTCATAGGAAACTACAGAGAGAGGGTAACGAGCACCTTGTACCCTTCCCTTGTTGTCCTCAAGCTGTTAGTATCTTCTGTAATTCTGCTGAGCGATAGAACCAGGAAGTTAGCATCGGTGTATAGTTCTGTACCTTTTGGCATGTTTGTGGAGTCTGTAACCACTGTCCCTATTGGAATATCAAACTGTCCTTTCACCACAAGAGATCTTGCTTTTGCCACACCAGTTACAGTTACGCACCCCTCCATCTCCCCTGACCCCTGCACCCGCTGCAGAACTGTGTGATTGGTGCCAGCACACTGTGAGTATGGACCAGCTCTTTAATGGTTTGGAGTTGAGTCTACTGAGATCCCTGTGGTCCGAGCCCAGGACTTGATGGTGATTGTGGTTTCCATGACCCAATCACTGTGCTTATCCATGCTGAATCTTCTGTCTTCTGTCTTGTAAGTCTTCAAGAAATGCCTCATAGACATTTCTTGAAGACATCAGATCACTTAATGTCTTTACAGTTTAGCCTATCCAACTAAGTCATTTGCTCTGCAAATTTCAGAAATGTACCTACTGTAAAGTAAAATGATGTGTGCAGAAAAGTGACGGGTTTGTTGTGTGTACCACGTTGGAGTTGGGACTTCCTGGGGCAGCGTCTTAGTGTCTACTCATGGTGGGGAGGTTGGAGACCATCTTTAGGAGGCAGCAAAATTTGTGTGTGGGTGCTCCTGTCACAGTATGAAATGGAAAGTCCAGAACTTTTACTGGATTTCTCCTGTCCTTGATCCAGGATGAAACTTTAAAATCTAGAACTATGGATTTAATTCCCACCCTCTCCCCCCAGAAAACATTTAACATGTCAGTTCTCTTGGTGAGCTTTATATATGTAGTGGAAGAAATTTTACGAAGCCAAGAATCTGATCTCTTAATTAAGCTTCTCTTTATATTTCTAAATAAACAGAAAGTCGTATCAAAATAACAATTCAAGCTGTACAAGATATCTAGGACATGTTTATAAAGTTTAAATCATTTTTTCTAGTGAAGACATTGATCCACTGTATTTTCCATGTGTCACACACATGGCACAGTGAAAAATTTAGAGAGAGGGGACCGGGTTGTCCCCATTCCTGGGTTCCACCATGTCCTTGGTTCATTGTGTGGTACATGGTAGGGATTCAGTAACTAGGAGCTTCATTTTCCTTCTCTTCTTTAAAAATGGACTTGTTACACATCTTTAAAATCATGGTTTTTATAGCTATAGGGTTGGCGTTTGAAGTAGTTTTTCTTCTGAAATGTTTTCAGTGTCTTGCCTCTGAGAATGGGAAGTACTCGTCATGCTTCCCCTGGAAGATTCTAGTGTCCATGGTAGACTCTTGACATAGGATAAATTGAGAATGTTTGCTTATGCCAATTTGTGTTTTTAAATAATCAAGCCACTTTTCCTGAAATTGGCTTTCAGGCATTGCTTTTTAGACTGGGACTGTTTTTTTCTTTTTTGGCTTTAACTGTTTCTCATTGCTATGGGAATTAGAGTGTTCATAGCATCTCAAGGACTTATGGCGGCTTTATTGGTGCTTACGACTTCCTTGCCCAGTGTCAAGAGGCACTGGTTCCTAGCTCAGGCTGGCTGTTCAGAGTACTTGATTAAAGAATGAAGGATCGTCACAAACTGTCAGCTCCTGAGAAAACTTATTAATCTGTGTTGTGTGGCTGGCTGTGCATGTGTAATTTCCAAGTCCTTTCCTTTCCCACTGTACTTGTGCTACAGTAAGTGGAACACAGTACTCTGGGGTGGAATGCTCTGAATTAGAGCTCTCTAGAGACAAAGAAATGATCCAATATATTGAATTGAAATTACTCAGTCCTTTGAGACCCGCAGCAGGTACTTGTGCTCCCCAGCGCAGCGCTTTCCTGGAGTTGTGTACATGA